GTATGACCATGAAGATATTGGTTACAATGATGCAATCATCTATTCTGCTATTACGGATGACATTTTGTCATCACAGTGGTTCTATCAAAAATCAGTTTTACAATTTTCAGCCAAAGTCAATACGTTGGTCAAGTCTGGTTTCATTAAGGAAGCAAAAAATTCCGCGTGGATTGGAAACATCGTATCATTGAGAAAGAAGGATGGAAATATGAGAATTTGCATCGTTTTTCAAAACTTGGTTCAGATATGTTCGAGGAATGTTTATTCCTTACCAATCAATAAATTCAAGATTGAGGAAGAAGTTGTCTCTGTGAACCATGTGAGTATTGATAAAACTTCAGAACTAAAAGACTCAACTTCTAACGATGAACCTGAACTAGCACCATCGACTTTTGAAGAATGAGGGCAAGCCACCGTTGATGATCTAAAGCAATTGAATCTAGGAACAGAAGATGATCCAAGACCAATATTCATCAATGCTCTTCTAAAACCTCAAGAGGAAGGTGAGTATTTTAAAATATTATAGGAGTATAAAGATTTTTTTGCATGGTCATACAAAGAAATGTCAGGGCTTGATCCCAAAGTTATAGTTCATCGTCTTGCTGTTAAACACGGAGTTTGACCTTTTAAGCAGCCGCAACGAAGATTCCGTCCAGAACTAGTCACTCAGATCGAAGCTAAAGTCAACAGGTTGATAGACGCTGGATTCATTCGAGAAGTTAAATATCCAACATGGATTGCTAATATTGTACCTTTCAGAAAGAAAAATGGACAAATTCGAGTTTGTGTTGATTTCAGAGATTTAAATCAAGCATGTCCGAAAGATGACTTTCCATTGCCGATTACAGAACTCATGGTTGATGCGACCAAGGGACATGAGGTATTGTCTTTCATGGATGGTTCCTCTAGATACAATCAAATTTAAATGGACCCTAAGGACGAAGAATTCACTGCATTTCGAACCCCCAAGGGAGTTTACTGCTACAGAGTGATGCCCTTCGGACTCAAGAATACTGGTGCCACATATCAACTTGCAATGCAAAAGATTTTTGATGATGTATTACACAAAAAGGTTGAATGTTGATGACTTGCTTGTAAAGACAAGAAGACGTGAAGATCATCTTGATGATTTGCGCAACATTTTTGAACGACTTCGGAGATGTCAACTAAAAATGAATCCCTTAAAGTGTATCTTTGGGGTTACCTCTGGCAAGTTCCTCGGATTTATTGTCAGGCATCGAGGCATCAAGATTGATCAACCAAAAATAGAGGCTATCCTAAAGATGCCAGAGCCTTGAAATCTGCATGACCTGAAAAGTCTTTAAGGAAGACTTGCTTATATACGAAGATTTATGTCAAACTTTGCTGGACATTGTCATCCATTCAATAAACTAATGAAGAAGGGTGTTCCTTTTGAATGGGATGATGCCTGTCAGAATGCTTTTGAAAATATAAAACAATATTTCATTCATCCCCCGGTCCTCGTAGCACCAATTCAAGGAGAACCATTGATCCTTTATATTGCTACCCAAGAACAGTCATTAGGAGCACTCTTAGCACAAGTTAATGACGAGGGAAATGAAAATGCAATATACTATCTGAGTTGGACATTAGTAGGTGCAGAACTAAACTACTCACCTATTGAAAAGATGTGTCTTGCATTAGTCTTCGCTATAAAGAAGTTAAGGCATTGTATGCTGACTTATGTTGTTCATCTCATTTCAAAATCTGATCCTGTCAAGTACATTATGTCAAGACCAGTTCTCTAAGGAAGGTTGGCAAAGTGGGCACTTCTATTGTCTAAATATGACATAGTTTATGTTCCACAATGAGCAGTCAAAGAACAAGCATTAGCTGATTTTCTTGCAAATCACTCGATCCCTGCAGACTGGTAGCTACCAAAAGAATTGCCAGATAAAGAAGTTTTCTTCACTGACTTCATACTGTCTTGGAAGTTATACTTTGATGGTACTGCTCGAAGGTATGGAGCTGGTGCAGTTGTGGTCTTCATTACCCCTGAAGACGAAGTATTGCCTTACACAATTATCTTGATAGAGTGTTGCTCTAATAACATGGTAGAGTACCAAGCTTTGATCATTGGCTTAGAAATGGCACTTGATATGCAGCTCTCTCAGTTGGAAATCTATGGAGACTCATAACTAGTGGTTCATCAGGTTTTGGAGTTGTATGATGTTCGCAAACCAGATTTGATTCCATACTGTCGCTATGTAACTCAACTTATGAGTCAGTTTGATCGAGTCACCATTGAAAACGTACCACGCGGTGAAAACAAATATGCTGATGCTCTTGCCAATCTTATCGTCGTGCTTACAAAACTCTATTTCCAAATAATTTAAGTTCTAGTTTGTCAAAGATGGGTAATACCTTCGTTACTCCCTGAAATGGAGGAAGTTATTACCATTTAAGTAGTGCAAGTTAAAAATGAAGATTGCAGGCAACCTTTGATTGATTATTTACAGTATGGAAAATTACTAAATGACCAACGTCATAGAACAGAGATACGACGAAGAGCTCCTCGATTTATTTATTATAAAGGCATCCTCTATCATCGTTCATTTGATGGTATTTTTCTGCGATATTTGGATGAAGATGAAGTTGCTCAAGCACTCGAAGAAGCTCATTCTGGAATTTGTGGTGCTCATCAATCAGGGCCTAAATTACATTTTCGCATAAAGAGAATGGGGTATTACTGGCCTATTATGGTACAAGACTCAATGAGTTATGCTAAGAAATGTCAAGCTTGTTAGTTCTATGCCAACTTTATTCACCAGCCACTTGAACCATTGCATCTTACAGTCGCATCATGACCTTTCGATGCATGAGAACTTGATGTCGTAGGACCTTTGACTCCAAAATCGTCAGCATGACATCTTTACATCTTAGCAATAACCTATTATTTATCCAAGTGGGCGGAAGCAGTTCCTCTTAAAGAAGTGAAAAAAGAAAATGTTGTCGACTTTATTTGAACAAATATTATATATCGGTATGGTGTACCTTGTTACATTATCACTGATAATGGAAAACTATTTGTCAATAGCCTCATGGCCGAGCTCTACATCAAATTTGGGTTTGTACAACATAATTCATCTATGTACAATACACCAGCCAATGGACTTGCAGAAACCTTCAATAAAACCTTGTGCAACTTGTTGAAGAAACTTTTCTCCAAATCAAAGAAGGATTAACATGAAAGGGTTGGTGAAGCTCTCTAGGCATATCGAAAAGCACACCGAACTCCAACACAAGTTACTCCATATTCCCTTGTGTATGACGTTGAAACTAGATGAGCTCACAAATGACGTTGAAACTCCATATTCCCTGCGGATCACCTTACAAGAAGAACTCACAAATGAAGAAAATGTTCATTTACGTCTAGATGAGCTTGAAGCACTTGACGAGAAGAGAGTAGATGCACAACAAAACCTAGAATGTTATCAAGCCAGACTTTCCAAAGCCTTTAATAAGAGGGTTCGTGTCCAACCATTCCAAATAGGAGATTTAGTCCTTCCAATTCGAAGACTCATTGTCATTCCGCATCGAACCGGTGGAAAATTCATGCCAAAATGGGATGATCCATATGTGGTGAAAGAAGTCTACACCAACGGCGCATATAAAATTGTTGACAAAGATGGTTTGAGGGTTGACCCAATCAATGAGAAATTCTTCGAGTGCTTCTACGCCTGAAAACAAGCAACACTCCTTTATGCATGAGTTTAAAGTGCATGTTACTTCTGGCCCGCATGAGTTAAAACTGTACACGACACCAACCTATAAAAAAGAATAAAAAAAAACTTGTTGCTCCTAGTCGGCATGAGGTAAAACTGTGTACAGCATGACAAAAAATAAAGGTTCATGCACTCCTTTACGCACGAGCCTAAACTGCATGTTACTCTTGGCTTGCATGAGTTAAAACTGTGTACGGCTTAAAAAAAAAAATTACTTAGCTTAACCAAAAAAAAAACTTTTTTACTCCTGGCTCACATGAGTTAAAATTGTGTACGGATTAACCCAAAAAAAAAAGCTTTTTTACTCTTGGCCCGCTTGAGTTAAAAACTGTGTACAGCTTAACCAAAAAAAATTTCTTCAAAATTATGTTTAAACTTAAACTTTTTCTTTGAGATATCTAAGTTATTTGAGAATCAATCTTTTTTTTAGTACAATAAATAATAGCAAAACAAAATAAAAATTCAAATCTAAACATCCATATTTGCTAAATATATATATATATATATATATATATATAAAGAATTACAATTGAGAAGTTATGACATCATAAAAAATTTTCAACCCAGTCGATCGAGGCTAGTGAAACAAATTTTTTCTCTAACATGGATCGCATCTTATCTATATCCTGTATCTGCTCAACGCTGCGAATATGAGACTGCCAGAGTTTGACACGTTCTTCCTCCATCACCACAATAGTCTTTTCAGTGTTTTGTCATTCATCACGAATGAAGTCAATGCTAGATGCTACCTCGGCCCTCCGATCTTGCAGTCGCCGGATTTCATCATCAAGACTCAATAACTCTACTTCAGATTTCAACAGTTGTTCACTCAAGCTAAGAACTTTGAATTGTCCTCCTGATATCGTGCTATCAATTGTCGCCAACCTTGTATCTCTTTTTCCAGAGGTTAAAACTTTGACGTTTTCTTGGCGTTTTGAAAAATACTCATCTATTTTCATAAGAAGACAATTTATTTTTCTCACCAAAGGATCTGTGTCAATATAGAAAAGTTTTTTAAGAGTATCTTCAAAACTTGAAGACTTAGAGGTCTACTAGGTCTTCAATCCAGAGAAGCCATTTTTCATGGTATAATCAAATTCACCCTTCAAATATGGGGGCATCCCGGTCAGAATTATTTTCTTTGCCAATCTTTCAGAAGTAATTGCTTCAACAGGAGGATCTGACACAAGTAAATATATGCGATTAGTTGCATACTAATCGAAAGGACAACTAGATCAAGCTAATAAAATATACCTGAGATAGATGAAAACATTGGCATTAGTCTTGGAGATCCTTCGCTAGGTCCATATGACTCAAGAAGAGTATTCATAACAGAATTATTAATAGCTTCTTGCCCTGTTTGTATAGCACATGAAGGGTTTGTTTTAGAATTAACTTCCCCTTCACATGGATTGGTATGTTCTCCATCAACCAAAGGAAGAATCTCACCACTGTCGGAAAGAATGGACATGGTCTGATCGTTGTCATCAAATAAAGCTCCAATGATATCATTGTCAAGATTTTGGTCTTCGCAAATACCTGGGATGGAATATAATGTGGCAAGATCTGGGAGTGGAGGAAAAGCTAAACAAAAAAAAGGATAATAGGTTTGAAATAAAAAAAAATGGTAATAGTAACGAAATTTTGCAAGTACCTTTATTGCGGGATCGCGGGGATAATTCTAAGAAAGTTGATAAGTTATTCAGAGCATCACAAGATGGGTCAACCTTGCCTGTGAGAGACTTTATAGTAGTGTGATTTGCACCATCTTCTATCCGGGTACAAGCCAAATTATGCTCAGCTTCTATAGCTCTTGTTTGACACCTCTCTTGAATTACCTGCTCAATAGAACCAAGATTATCAACTGGTATAATTGCGCTTGGAATCCTTCCACGATTCGAGCCTATATCCTATTTCTTGAAAATACCCTTAGACATGCTGGATGAAAAGAGTGCATGATCAGATTCATTTGACGAACTCACTTCAGCAGACTCTGGGAAGTTTAAAGGATGAATAGATCGAACATTAGCTGATCTTGAAACAGATGTTGTGACCTTTAACATCTTTGGAGCCAGTTGTTCTTGAGAATTCAAACAATCCTTTGAAGTGTCCCATTTTCGAAGACGTGAAGGAGCTTTAGCTACTGTATGAAGGGATTTCCCCTTCCCTGACCCATTAGCTTGAGCTTTGAATTTGAAATTCTCAGATTCACTAGCTAACAAGGTTTTACAATTGATGTCATCTAGGTGTGGGAGTACATCATATTTCCACCAGTTGTTATAACTATTGTCATATCGATTCTCAATGCGAGCATAATTATTAAGGACATGGAATCCTGCCCCACTGTTTATCCTAGTTAAACTCAACCACGCCTGATATAAAAAAGAGGCATCAAATGAAATTATTGATGGATGTGAGGGAGTACCCGGTAATTTTTGATGAAATCCATGATGCCTAGCAAAGCGATGTGGGTTATACATCTTAAGAATAAAAACTGGCCCACGACAATACATGACGTGTCCACCTCGCATACTTGTCAATAATTTAGAGGTTTCATCTGATCTTTGTCCATCATCACGACGAGGTCCTCAGTTTCCAGAATACAGAACTGGTTGCCAGCAAAAATCACTGGAACTCATACTTCCACGCAGAAGATCTCGAAATTCTTTCACTTCTTCCTCATAAAAAAGATAAGCATTCAGTGTACCTTTGAATTGTCAAAGCAAAGGACGATCAAGCTCCTCATCAACCTCAGCATAAACTCTTCGAGGGAAATGCAATGTTGCCCAAGCATAAAAGTAATGACCTGGAAAAGCATATGAAGCCATTTCGAGGTTCTTTTGATCATACCGGGTGCTGCATGTCTCAGATAAACCTCTGTAGATGCTTGCAACAATAGGGGGGAACCAAGCTATATGTGATTCCAGCAGCCATTCGGGAGGCAGTCTTGAAGATAGTTGGACGAATAACATCATTCGATGAAGGAAATACAAAGTGACATAGCCATAAAGCTAAATAAGCTGCAATCTCCAAGTCTTCACGTGTTGTGACATCAAAGTCAAGATCTAAAAGAATGAAAGGATCATCACCATTGACCTTTGTATTCATAGGTTGTATTTTTTCCTGAATAGGTCTCACCAATCTTCGCTTTGTAAAAAGTTCTTCTTCCCTTTTAAAGCAATTTGCCATGGCTGTTTTATATGTCTTGCTTTTCTTAGGATCCAGAGCATGTGCACCATCCTTGAACCAAAAATCAAGCCAATCTGAATGACGGGGACGATTATCTCCTTTCTTCTTATTACTTAAGACAAAAGCCTTAAACAAGTGCAGACAAGTCACATGAAGAACACTAGTATCAGAGTCTCTCAATTCAATCAAGCTTGGGATAACTTCTTCAAAATATTCACTACGGATTGAAATACCGGTGACGTGTCGCATTTCCCAAAGTGAGATTCCAATTTCTCTTGCTCCTGTAATAAATGTATTTGTCTGTGGACACCAAACTTTACAAAGGGCGCAATATACACTGTTGGGTCGAGAGTAGTCCAAAGAAGCTGCATGCATAGAATAAGCAAGTTTGTTGAAACCCTTATCTAACAACTTGCAGTAAATTTGTTGAGACCACTCACAAAACTCATTCAGATATTGAATATCTCCCCTCAGGTTCAATGAACATCCCTATCTCGCAATCCTCTGGTTGATCAGATCAGCAACAAGTGACTTTGGAATAAGATGATCTTTGGAATGATATGAAGGCGTGCAAAGTGAGGGTAGTCGATATGACTTAACCATGTCACTTTTGTGCATGTTCTCTACCAGAGGATATTCACTAATCATCGATATATGAAGTTCAAGTTCATAGATTATTCTTAAGCGGCTGCAGAGACCAGTCATGGGCTCAAGAACTTTGAGTGATAATGTTGACAGCTCATTGGTTCTGTAGTTTTTTACCACAACAATTGAAAAACACAAAACTTTGTCTTTCAGAATTGGATCTTCTGACTCAGCAATCCACTCATCGGAAGGTAAGTTCCTTCTTTGACTTGAAATTTTGATAATTTTTCCCGATTTAGCTTTTTGAGATGAGGCCATCTGAAAAATAATAAAAATAATAATAATAAAAAAAGAAAGAGGGCAAATAATAATTATATATATATATATATAAACCTTGATGCTATAAATAAAGTGAGAATAAAATAATAATAATAATAATA